CAAACAAGTGGAAATGAATAGTCCTGGATGCAGAATACTCCTTCTGATTCTTACACTTATTGCATGGACAACAAATAAAACCCCTTTGCCTGTTAGCTTCGGCCACTCTCAAAAAATAGTGCACGCCGTCAATAAACTCTTTGGACCGCCGGTCAGCGTACATCCATTGCCGATCCATTTACATGAGTCAAAAAAACCGTACACAAATAATTATTCTTACAATAATGACAGTCATACAATAATTATAAGATATCTTTATTCATACAAAAATCATAAAATATTACACCAAATAATTCTTAAAAACTATTTGTAAAGTTTTAAACTAATTTTAATGTGTTTTACTTCTTTTAATTTTCATTTTAGTTTGTTTTCTATTATTTAAGATTAACTTTCACTAGAGTTTTCCTTCTCAACTATTTTATAAAACCTTGTTTAGCAAATGAACTAAATTTCTATATATTCTTTCTTCCCCACACACATTTTCTCTCTCATCAACTTACAACTAAATTTTGGAGACAAAAAAAGTGTGCAAAACATAGGTGCAAATGTAGTATGACAAAAAAAACATTGGAGGATGAAGTTGCAAACCTTTTAGGCACCTCCGATTTGTATGTAATCACCAAAATAAATTCAATAGAAATTTTGGCATGACCTCCCCTCTTTTTTGAAGAAATTTTGAAGCTTGCTCGGGCAGCTGGAGGAGGAAGAAGACATATATATAGGGGTGGGACTTTAGTCCCGGTTGGTAGCACCAACCGGGGCTAAAGATCACCGGGATCTTTAGTCCCGGTTGGTAACACCAACCGGGACTAAAGTTACGATCTTTAGTCCCGGTTGGTGCTACCAACCGGGACTAAAGATCCCGGGGGGGCCTGACAGGCCCTGACAGCATTCGAACCGGGACTAAAGATGATCTTTAGTCCCGGTTGGTAACACAAACCGGGACTAAAGATCAAATATGCCCATTACCCTTTTGAACCGGGACTAAAGATCATCTTTAGCCCCGGTTTTTATTGCATCCGGGACTATTGTGGAAATCGGCCGACCGACGAAAGATGGTTTCTCCACCAGTGTAACTACCTCTATATAAGGACTTCACTTTCTCACTTCACTCACACACCTCAAGCAAGAGCTCTCTCATATTCTCTCAAGTTAGTATAGTGTTATCTAGCTAGTGGAGTAGGAATACAGTAGAAATCTAAAGTCTGGAAGCCTTCGGAAGAGTTCGCGTATGGCTCTAGTAGCTTTCCTTTCCTTTTTTGTAAGCTTTGTACTTTATTTAGAATACTCTTCTTTGTACATTTATGGTATTGAAATACTTTCCGACTATATGAATGCCTACTTTAAATTATGTTCATGTTATACTGAATATGCTGCTAGCTTATCTAGAAGATGCTTTGGTGCGGGTATAATGTTTGTATATGCAATTACTCTATGTCATGACGATGATATTAAAGTAGTATCTGGTAGTTTAGACGTGGTGTCTAGATTACGGGATATCATTATTTGGGGTTATATGCTGCGGATGAGAGGTGGGCCGCTGATGGTGATAGCTCAGTACGGGTATTCCTCCGTATTTAGCCCCGGTTGTATGGTCATGACGGGCTGTTGTAAGGAACTTGACAGTCAGGGTGGCTTCTCGAAGTACTAGGAGGGCATCGAATAGAGGGTATTAGCTAGTATATCATATAACTAGAATGTATGTATACTATGTGTACTAGAAGTATAAGAATAGATTCTCTTTCTCTTTTCTTTCCACTTAGCTAGGAAATTTAGTATGAGAATAAGTAGCTACTGCTTGTGTGTGACTCTACCCTTGGATTATCTTAACCCCTACTTAGACTTTGATTTTCACAAGTAACATATAAATTATTAGTCAGGTTCTCTCTATATGATCTTCCCACGGGATAAAATAAATACGATACCCTTGGAATACTCTCAGGTGAAATGGTACAATGGTATATTCGTGCGCTTGCGGATGAACTTTGTAACCATAATATACCAGGAGTATTTCTCCGCCATTGCTGGGAATTATATTTCTGGTAATGTCGTTAAGAAATATCAACAATCGGCTTCTCCCTATCCAACTCGGTATCAGCCGATGCAGACGGTAGCCGATGCGTACTCTGATTTTGAGAACAACGAACTCCTTCCAAATCCGCTTCGGCTTCAACTCCAAATCCAATATATGATTTGCGAAATTTGGTTGTGATTTACTTACTTAATTACAAATAAAATAATAGTTCAAGCAAATTGAAAACCAGATGTTATTTGTTTGCCATATAGAAGGATATGTGTGTGTTAAAATGGTGCAATTTAATTTTTTTATATAGTAAAAATATGTGTAATATGGATCATAAATTATTTACTTATCTACTTATAAAATAATAGTTCAAAAAATTAAAAATCAGATATAACTTTGTTAGTTGTTGATTCTTTCCTATTAAATAGTTAAAAATAAATTGTTTATTTGTAAAAGCATCAATTTATTAAACATAAAAATATTTATGCACGGGATCATGCGGCCAGAGTCAAGTGCCGTGCCCGTTCAGCCTCCGATGAGATAGAAGCAAAGAAATAAATTTGAAAAATAAAATCGTAACTACCATAAAAGAGTCTTCGGAGCTGGAGAGGAAAAGCTACACATACGTGCACCATAAGAAAAAGGCAACTTTTGCTATAGGACATCACGACTTTGTGGTTTAGCTGTAGGACACAGCACAAACTTAATTTTAGAGGAAAACACTATCTAAACGTGGTTATTTGCTGCTAGACACCTCGCGCGTTAAAATATTAATTTCCAGTTGAGTAGGAGAGATAAAGAGCGTGAAAAGTCAAAAATATCCCTTGCCCCACTTGTCATATTCTTCCTCTTCCTCCTTATTTCCCCTTTCTAATGTCACGGCAGCGCTCCACCGCGTCGTGGGTGCACTCTGGCACGGCGGCATTCGGTGGAGACAACGCTTTGGCAGCATTCGTGAGTGGCGGCGCCGGCATGAGGAGATAGAGGTGGACTCGTGGCGCGGCATCGAGCTCCGAAATGGTGGGAAGGCGGCGCTTGACGACGGGCGGCATCTGCCGGAGTTGAGGAAGAGAGAGGGAAGTGGCAGCGCGAAAAGAGAAGGCTTCGGCCTCGGAGCTCGGCAGCGGCGGCGGCAGCACGGGAATGATGTGGCAGTGACGATGTCGCAGCTCGAGGCGACGGCATGAAGTAGCGGCGGCGTGGCTTGGGCCGGCTCGGAGTTCTCCCCCTCTCTGTGCTAATCCACAAGCAACCAACATCACGGAGTCAAATCTATCGTCTCCAATTTCTTCCTTTTTCCATTGAGCCAAATTGCAACACTCAAACACCAAATCGTACAGTAGCAAGCCACACACAAGCCTGCTGCTACTCCCCATCGAACCGTTGTAGAGTGCTCAGGCACCACTGGCTAGAGTGCTTAGGCACCATTGGCGGCAGCTTAGCCGTGGTGTCTGGACGTGGCGCACCTAGCAAGGGGTCTCGCCCGACGACCACTGCCCCCGGCGGTTGGGACTCTCTCGCCCCTTTGCCTGCCATCTTGAGCCGTGGGCGCATCGCCTGTCAGACGCCGTGGGGGGAGACAGAGGAAGAGCTTAAGGAAGAGAGAAAGAGGAAAAGAAAGGAGAGGCTATTTGGTCACTTCGTTTAAAAATTTGGGCCCCCATGGACTCGTCAGCATGAATACACTATTTTAATAGACGCGGTGTCCTCTGACAAATAACCACGTTTAGATAGTGTTTTTCCCCAAAAGTGAGTTTGTGCGGTGTTCTACAGCTAAAACCACAAAGTCGTGATGTCCTGTAGCAAAATTTGCCTAAGAAAAAGTATACGAAGTACATATACGGGGAGGAGAGATTTTTTGGATAGATCCAATCGACCAACCAAATTTATCTACGACAGATCTAATAGCCAAAATAATGGGTCCATCAATTTAACTGGAAATCAAAGGTTGGATGTTTTTTTTTTTGAAATTTCTAGGATTTTTTAATTTAGTGCCACATGGTGATATAGTAATGTTTGGAGGATGTCCATGTGGTGGCTTGAGAGAGTTTTTAGGAAAGTATGGACTTTTAGTATATAACTAGGAAAGGTAGCCCGCGCACATACGTGGTGTTTTCGCTAATAATTTGTTTGGGATTAATTTTTCTCTGTTAGTTATGAATTTCCTATAGTTATCCTTGCAACATATAAATTCTAAACTTAAATTACCTACAATTGAGTTGGTTCCTATGTATCATTTGTAGCGTGCACATATCTTTTAGAATATTTTTGGCATATTTTATTTTTGGAGTTCCAAAACTTTAAGTAACATTATTTTCTTGTATACAATAGTTGTCATTGTGGATTTAAGGATATATTAACTAAAGATATTTTGTGTTGAAAAATATGGTTAATAGCATTGTTTCATATAATAAAAAGATTAAAGTGCACTGGCGGTCATTTAACTTTGCGCAGCTGTGTCAAGCCGGCCCCCAAACTCGCAAAACGGGCATTTAGGTGCCTAATCACTGTTCGGGTTTCACTCTAGTCCAACCGGGCGCTGGGACATGCATCATTTTGCAGTAAGCCCCTTGACTGTTCGTGTGGCTCTCTCATTTCTCCCCCCATTAGCCCACGACTGTTCGTGTTCCTCGGCGGCGGAGACGAATCCGAGGCGAGGACGGTGGAGCTCAGAGAAGCGGAGTGCGGGTTGAAGCCAGCCACGCTGGAGTTGTCCGCAGCGGCTGGTTAGAAGGATGTTGCCGCGATTGCGAGGGAAAACAGAAGGGCCACCGTCATACGGTGAGTCCATCTTCCCTTTCTACTTGTTATTTGCTAGGTTTGTGGATAGTCGTCATAGTTGCAGGGCTTCAATTTGACGAAGGAATGGATCTTAGGGTGTGGATTGTTGTTTATGATGTGATTTGTTAGGGTTCTCCATCTTCTGATGAACTGTGTTAATTCCTGTCGATAATGTAGGTCCTGATAGTGATGCATTCACCATTGAGTTGCACCATGGAGGTTTTTTTGCTGGGTGCGGTCATCTTAGGTCTTATGTTGATGAAAAAATTGACTGGTTTGACTGGATTGATTGTGATACATGGTCTGCCTTATGGTTTGAGGATATGTTTGAACAACTGGGCTACGATAGTGTGACAGACATTAAGTTTTATTGGTTGTTTACCAGGGAAAGATCTTAGTGATGGGCTGAGGGTAATTGCAACAGATGAAGATACTAATGTAATGGTCAGTGTAGTTCGCAAGGTGAGAAATCTGGTTGTGTATGTTGATCATATAGGCAGTATGAACAGTGTTGACTGGGATGACTATGTTGCTAATCCTGTTAATTAGTTGCCTAAGGTTTTAAGTCCACAGAAAGTTGTGTATGAGAAAAACCCAGCACAAAAGAGTAGACCAAGCTGGACCAGGCCAACAACCTGATGGAGATGAACAGCAAGAATCTGATGGAGATGAACAACAAGAACCTGATGGAGATGAACAGCAGGAATTGTTTGACAGTGACTATGATCTTAGTGATGGAGATGATGACTTATTAGAGGATGCTGTTAACTTGGATATGCCAAAGGTTAGAGGCAACAAGAAGGCAAAGCGAAGCCATTTGAAGGCTATTGAGATCAGAGTACCTACTGCAGTAGATGATGATGCAGACACAGAGGATGATGCCCTGGATCTTCCTGAGTCTGATGGTGAAGGAGAAGAGAGAATGAGATTCAATTCTTGGAACCAAGAGGACATGAACAACCCAGCTTTCTCTGTTGGGCTTGTCTTTCCTTCAGTTGAGAGTGTGAGGAAAGCAATTACAGAGTACTCTGTTAGGAACAGAGTGGAAATCAAGCTTCCTAGGAATGATAAGAAAAGAGTAAGGGCTCACTGTACAGATGGTTGCCCCTGGAATCTATATGCATCTTGGGATAGCAGAGTGAATTCTTTTGTGGTGAAGACATATTATGGAAAACATAAATGCCAGAAAGAGTGGGTTCTGAGGAGATGCACCTCTAGATGGCTGGCAGACAAGTACATAGATTCTTTCAGAGCCAATGAGAAGATGAGCGTTACTAGTTTTGGTAGAGTCATTCAAAAGGACTGGAATTTGACACCTTCAAGGAGCAAGGTAGCTAGAGCAAGAAGACTGATCATGAAAGTCATCCATGGTGATGAGATCAAGCAGTATGACTATCTCTGGGATTATGCACAAGAGATCAGGAGGAGCAATCCTGGCAGCTCACTGTATCTGAACTTAGCAGGAAATCTGTTTAGTACTTGCTTCATTGCTTTGGATGCTTGTAAAAGGGGGTTTTTGGCTGGTTGCAGACCCCTCATATGTATTGATGGATGCCATATCAAGACAAAATTTGGAGGCAAACTGTTGACAGCAGTGGGAATGGACCCAAATGATTGCATTTTCCCAATAGCAATGGCTGTTGTCGAGGTGGAGTCATTTGTTTCTTGGGAGTGGTTATTAGAGACATTGAAATCTGAACTTGGGATAGATAACACATACCCTTGGACCATAATGACTAATAAGCAGAAGGTAACCCATTTGCTACTTGAATATCTCTTGTCTGTATTGTCTGCAAGTGTACTGACTAACTGATGCTTGTTTCTCTGCAGGGACTAATTCCAGCTGTCAAGAAGGTATTCCCTGACACAGAGCATAGGTTCTGTGTGAGACACCTGTACTCTAACTTTCAAGAAAAGTTCAAAGGCGAGATTAGGCACCTAAATGCCCGTTTTGTGAGTTAGGGGACCGGCTTGACACAGCTGCGCAAGTTAAGGGACCGCCAGTGCACTTTACTCTAATTAAAAATAAACTTCTATTTACTCCTGCTCCCACTTTTTTTATATGCTTAGTTATTTTCTATGAAGAAATGAATTGAAACTAAATTAAGAGCACAATTATAATAATATAATTAGTATGTGTAGTTAAACATCATAGACCAAAGTACACTTTTGTTAGGTCAACTATTATTATATAGTATATTTTTATTGCATGAATTTTGTTTATTATTATTTGTACTTGTTCCTGAATTAATCAAACTTAGTATATGGAATATCACATACCATGTGTATTTAATAGACTCATGATGTTTACTCATTCTGTTCTTTTACTTATTTAGGGCATTAATGAAAGAACACACAGCAGAGAATTTCCCAAACACTATAGTCAAAGCCTCTAGCCAGATGTGTATTTCGGATCACACCTAGTGTTTGGTACAGATTGGTACTTCAATTCCTAAGGCCTCTATTTTCAGATTAGAAAACTTTTGGGTGGAGCTTGAGGGATTTTTTGAGCTACTGAATTCTTCATGGATAAATTATGGTTGCTGGAATGATGAAGAAGAAAGGCAAATTTTGCTACAGATATCGCGACTTCATGGTTTTAGTTGTAGAACACCGCACATACTCACTTTTGCGGGAAAACACTTTTTAAACATGGTTATTTGTCACTGGACGCATCTATTAAAATATTAATTTTTGGTTGAACAGGAGAGATAAATGCAGTGAAAGATTAAAAATACCCCTGAGCCCACTTGTCATATTCTTCTTCCTCCTCAATTCCCCTTTTCTCCCATATCCACGCTGCCGCCGCCAACGGCGTCCTAACCACGGGATTCCGTAACGACGACCGTGCTAGGCTGGTGATGTTAGAGTCGACAGGATGTGCGGCATCTTGAGGCGATGCGGCCCACTGTGGGGAGCCCTCACCGCCATGGGAGGAGGTGGTGGCTGCTGCTCCTGCTGCGATTGCGCCGCACCATGTCCTCCTGCTCCACCTTGGATGTGCACCCTACCGACCCCCGCAAACCGGTGCTGCTATTGCCAACTTCGTCCCCTGCATTGCATGCTGCCGTCGATGCTCCCTGCATCCTCTTACCGCGCTTCACTTGATCTATGCCACAACTGCCACCGCCGATGTCATCGCTTCGGGCATGGGCGACGTCACGCGGTGTCCCCGCACCGCCGCCGTCCTGACCGTCCTCATGGCCGCACCGCCACGCTTTTGTCATCGCCGTGCACTCCACCCGCTGGTCGCGACACCACTCATGGCTTGCAGTCCTCATCGGAGAAGAGAGAAAAGAGGCAGACAGAGGATGAGATCAAGAAGAAGAGAGCGGATGAGGAAGACAAAGGATGGGCATTTTGGTCACTCCGCATAAAATTATGGGCCCCCTATCGCCTCGTCAGCACAAATGCATTATTTTAATCAGTGCGGTGTCCGTTGTAAAATAACCACGTTTAGAGCGTGTTTTCCCTCAAAAGTGAGTTCGTGCAGTGTCCTACAACTAAAATCACAAAGTCGTGATGTCCTATTGCAAAATTTGCTAAGAAAAAATATATTACAGTTAAACTTAAGTGTTTGAGGAAGGCACTTAAGAAGTGGAGCAAAACATTGTCAAAGCTAAATAGCTTGATAAAAAACTGTAATTAAGTGGTGGATTCTGTTGACAAATTAATGGAGTCAAGATATTTAACAGTAACCGAATGGAACTTCTGAAAGCTGATCAAATCAAAAGCTTTGATCTACATACATGAAGTACAAACAGATCTACTAAATAAAGATGTAACATATTTTTGTATATGGTTGCCATGCAAAGAATGGGGTCTATGTCCAAACCACATACGTCTAGGATGATAATGCATAAGCACGAAGCAGAAAACCAATCCAAATGGCTAAAGTCATGTATGGAAAAGAAATAAAATATAATACCAATCCAAATGGCTAAAGTCATGTATGGAAAAGAAATAAAATATAATGTATTCTCTGGTACCTCGGCCTTACGCTAACGCTAGATTCCGAGGCTTCGGGTTTCCTCAACTTTGAGGTTGAGTGAGTCCCTCGTCGCCAAGAAAATAAGAGCACAACGACTAGGGCCCAACTATTGCTTTTTTTACTAATAGTTAGCGGTTGTCCTCGTACCTAATCTTATTCCGTTTAACTACCCGAGATTAGACTCGAGGGTGGGTAAGATCCGGAGCGAGGTTGTCCACGAGCTGAGGCCTCTCGAAGAATACTTTCGTGTATAACAAAATATGAGTAATATTGATCTCAATTTATTTGTATAATTATAAATTAAATAACAGTTTTAAAAATTAAAAACTGGAGATTTTGTTTAAAAGTTATGCTCATTTAATTTAACTGTTTATAGAAGTGCTAGCTCTAAAATAGAAGTGCTACGCACTTTAGTACTTACGTGACCACTTTGATACGTACACGAGGGAGTGAGGTGGAGGTGATCGTACGTACAGGAGGAAGGGAGGTGTTGGTGGAAGGGATTTATTTTTCAAAAGATTTAATTTAATGGTTAAAAATATTGGGTCCACTAAATTGAAAATCAAAGCTGAGATGTTTTGCTTTTTTCTTAGATTTTTTCGGATTTCCTCTAATTTATTAGAGTGACACATGATGGATTATGAGCGTTTATAGGATGTGATGTGGCGGTGTACACTGGTGGAGAAAACGTTTGTAGTCCCGGTTCGTAACCCCCTTTAGTCCCGGTTTCCAAACCGGGACTACCAATCCGGGACTAAAGATCGCTATCTTTAGTCCCGGGTGAAATAACCGGGACTAAAGATCGATCTTTAGTCCCGGTTGGTACTAAAGATGTCTCAGCCACGTGGCCGGCTGAGCCATCTTTAGTCCCGGTTGGTGACTAAAGATCGAGCTGACCTTTTTTTTTTTGCATGGCCCTGTTGCTGCAAGGTTTATATATATATATATATATATATATATATATGTTATGCAAATGCATATGTATATATATATATATGACCAAAATATATATTTACATTATAGAAAATGTGTACACATGCATATTGAAACATAGTCATGTATTAATTACAATCCATTATATGTCCTAGCTAGCTATGATTTCGACGTAGTAGTAGTCGCTATCTCAGAAGATAATGACCTATGAATTGTATTTCTGTCGTAGTAGAATTTACCCTTGGGATCAAGGATTTATTCGTTGATGAATCCCATGAGTTGTTCTTGAACCGCCGCGATAAATTCCTTGTGTGTGATCAAGTTATCCCTCATGCGAATAAACTATATAAATGTATGAAATTGATTAGTAATTAAACAAAAAATCGATACGTAATGAAATTTTGAATTTATTTGTACGTACATCGAGCTCTCTTGTGGTGATGATTTGGTGTGCAAGGCAGTGGCAATACTCGCACACATAGTAGTCGCACAAGTTAGTTCCCTGCTTTTGCTTTGCGCACTATAAATAAATGACAAACGACGAGAGATCTAATTAATATACACTTGTATGTATTTGAATCGGAGAAATATAAATGTAGAGCATGTGTACTCACAGGAAATTTGAACTTCCGCCTAAGTCTTTCTCTCCATTTGCCACGGACCAAATGACGGAACCGATACCAAGCCCTACATGGAGTTTAAAGCTATGATTCGTAGTAGCAATTAACTATAACAAGATTCTTAATTAACATAGGAACTTATGACAGTACCTGTCTATAAGTTCGAAAACCTTGTCAAACGTAGACTCTTTTTTATCCATTGAGTCATATACGTTGACGGTGCAGGCCTCCAGGTCGAAGAGTAAAAGCACCCAGTGGAATCTGCAATGTGCGTGGGATGCATTACATATGAAACACTTAGAATGTTCGTATGGGAATGAAATTTGGTATTGGAAGACAGTAAAATTAAACTAACTCTCTGTTGTACGGCAACAGTATGAACGTCTTGTAATGTTGCGCCTTCAGGAGATGGACGAGATTGTCCTCTGTGGCTTGCGGATATTGGTCGAGCATTGCGACATTTACTTTTCGAGGGTCGATGAATCCAGTATCGAAAACCCCCGCCGTCGGGCCCTTTGAATCTCCATTCTACAACGATAAAAGGGAAGATATATTATATATAGTCTACTTATATACAAGGACCTAATTAATTAAAGGAAACGTAGTAAGAAATCTAATTGAACGATATACTTACAAAATCCAGTAACTCATAATAGAGACGTCGAGGGCGTCCAGCTGGTATATTTCGTAGATTCCCTTGAAATTGATCCAGAGAATGTCATCTCCTTGCAAGAAGTCCGTGTCCCTGATCCTCGCTCTGATCATCTCTCTACCGGTGGCGCTCATCTCCATGTACAGCTGATGGAACTTGTACATTTGTGTGGGTAAGGACTGCAGCAGCTCAGGCTTGACAAGCGGTTTACCGAGTTCGTACATGTATTTCACTTCCGCCTTTTCGATTGGTGCGTCTCGTAGCAATTGATCCGTAGTTAGCCCGGTGTCATTAATAAAGTCTTGTATTTCAAAATCTTCACCGGTCACCAACGGCTCGATCTCCTGGTTTGGTTGCTCTCCAAGCTGAGGGACTGGTTTGGACTTTCTAGAAGATGCTTTCTTGAATGTTCGCTCATAGTCCGATAGCTTTATGGCCTCCTTGGCAGGTGCAGACATACCCCTGAAGAAGTTCTTGACACTCGGGTCTATAGGAATGTTCTTTTCTGGACTTCGAGGCTTCAATTGTCTCCTGACTTCTGATGCCACGTAAGCGTCAAGCTCCTCTTGCGTGCAATCGTACCCTGGGTCCTTGTTCTTGGCGGCGTCAACTTTCGCCTTCTTTGTTGCCCTTGTGGGGGCAGGCGGTGGAGCTTAGGGGGCCCTTGACTTGGAAGGTGCCAAAAGAGGAGCTTGCGGAGGAGTCGGTGTAGGAGCCTGAGGAGGAGTCGGTGCCGGAGCCTGAGGTGGAGACGGTGCTGGAGCAAGAGGAGGAGACGGTGCAGGAGCCTGAGGAGGAGATGGCGGAGCTGGAGGAGATGGTGCACGAGACGCCGCTTATCGCCTAGGGAGGATGATGTACCGCTTGCGCCATAGAATAATGGCGTGGCTTGTGTCTCGTAGATGC